GTATAAATTTCTATGTATTATACTTATCCTCAATGATTAATTACTAAATGAAGAAAATTCGAATTTGTTAGGGGGGAAATGCTGAAGAAACGGAAGAAGAAAAGGTGACAAGTCCTTGTGGGGTAAATGATTCGAAGAATTGAAATAATTAAGTTTGAAGTTTTGCTTTTGGATTTTTGGTTTGTTGTTGGGGTCAAAAAGGAAAAAGTGGGTATAATTCCTTGTTGTATTCATTGATTGATATTGAAAAATAGTAGAAGCATGTGTGTCGTCATAATTGCAAATCACCAATCATCTCAATTTTTTTTACTCCTATTAAGAGCATATTTTGCAATTTCTACAAAATATCAAGAAATCCACAAAATTTTCCGTTTAAATATTATTTCTTAGAATTATAAATATGTCGTTTTTCTAACAGAGTATCATTTTAAGAAATATAACTACTTATTTAGAAATACATGTACATTTTTTAGAAGTATAAATACATATATTTATGGCGATTTTTGAGAAAATGTTGCCATTTTTTACTGAAATCTAACAAAAGTTTAAAGAAACCATTACATACCTCCTCTATTTCCTCTCTCAATTGATGAAACACTGTCTACATATTTCCTCATTAACTAAGTAAGAATCATTGTCTCATTTTGTTACAACCCTACACCTAAAAGAAACTATTACTTTACATAAAACTCTTACACACCTCCTCTCTCTCTATCTCTTCACTGCCCAACACATATTCTGTACCCCTTATGTATCAAACAAATTACCAAAATGCCCTTTTCAATTTTCGAACCCGAATATCACCCTCGCTCTATCAACCTTCCAACCTAAAAGGTTGAAAACAAATCATCAGCCATTGACAACATTATATGAAAATTTTACAACTGAACTTACTATTTTTATTAATCTCTCTCGAATTCAAAACCATATGGGCCCCACATACTACATAAAACCAAATCAATTTTAGTCACTAGATCTTCGAAGGGTACTTGACCCATAAAAGAATCTTCTTTTTCTCAATATCTCAGCTTCTCTAGCTATCTGAATATCTGAAGGCCTAAACATTCTATGCATAGCTTTGATTATAAATCTAGGAAGTAATGCCACCACTATTATAAGCCAAATTGATAGCCAATATGTAGGTTGTTTTGCCAATTCATATATTGTCCTGAAAAATACAAAAAACAACCACTATTATTTCCTAATTATTATTATAAAAATATACATATATAAGTTTTGTAAAAACTAACCCGTAATTAGGGAAAACAGGAATGGAATCCAACACCACTACACAAGCATATGTCATAACCACAGATCCCCAAATTGAGATATGAGTATAAAGCACCCATCTTTGAATGTCCATTGCCAAATGTATATTTACCAAAATGACCACTGAAACAGTCCACAAACTACCCATACTCCAAATATCAATTGTGGTTTGTGAAAATGCAAATCTTGGAACACAAAAAAGTGCAAGACTTTGCCATATGGTGTCAGCCATCATCATCCAAAAAAGACAACTGTTGTAACTTTCTTGTCTGTGTCCAGATTCATACAGCTTTGGATACTGAAGAAGTGTCTTATGACTCAAGTCTTTGTCTAGAATTCCAACCACAATTGTAGGGACTGAAGTGTAAATTACAGAGTAGAACACACTGCTCCAGTCAGTAAGTGCAGATGTTGTTGAAAAAGCTGCACATAATATATACCTGAACATAACAAAATCAAACATTTTTTGTTATATTTATATACAGTCATAAAGAGAAAGATGTAATATGAGTATTTACCAAAAAAGCATGAAGACAAAAACAGCATTTCTGTAGAAGTTATAAAGAACCAAATATCCCATGCGTTGATAATTCCAATGACCATGTACTAAAAGTAGTCTTTTTAAGAATCTAAATTGTCCCATTGCAAAATCTGAAGCCATGACAGCCTGGCGTCCTTCTTGTCCACATATGCCAACACCAACATCCGCCATTTGGATCATTGACACATCATTTGCACCTTAAAAATGTGTTTAAAAAGACTAAATTTTCAAAGGATAAAAACGTCTTTTTTAAATATATATAGTTAAAAAATACTAACTTACCATCACCTATTGCTAGTGTCATATCATCAGTTCGACTCTTGATCAAATCAACAACTCCAGCTTTTTGTAAGGGTGCAACTCGACAACACAAAACAACTCTACAAGATGTTGCAAGATTGAACAGCTGTCGATTAAAAAAAGAAATGTTAAGAAGTCATGAAATAATGATAAATTATTTTATGAAATATGAAAATAAGACAAAAGAAAATACTTCATGCCTCTGATTCCAGATCTCTTTCCAAGATGTAAACCAAACTATTCCCATCAATTATCAATGCCAATTCTCCTTCTATGTTTTCAGCATCAATTTCAGTATTATTCTTCAAATCTCTACATTTAACACCATATCTAGCCATTGATTCAGACAGAAGCTGTCTACATTCAGTCTCTGAAGTTCCATTTATAACAATCTGATGCATATCTGATGTCAAAAGCTTACAAGAAAGAGCAATCGAAATTGCAGTTTCCTGTTTATCTCCAGTCAAAACCCAAACCTTAATTCCTGCTAAACGTAAACACTCGATAGTTTCAGGAACACCTTCTTGAAGTTTGTCTTCAATTCCAGTTGCTCCAAGCAAATGTAAATTACATTCAACAAGTGATGCAGTTTGTCTTAGTTTCAAAGATCTATCAACCAATGAAGTGGTGGCATCTTCATACATTGATTGCCATTCTTCAAGTTCTTCATTTGTAAGATCCCTAGAAGCAAGTACAAGTGTCCGAAGACCTTCTGATGAATACTCATTCAAATGGTGTTGTGTTATGATGCTTAAGTCGTTATCGTTTCCAGAATTGTCCCTCAAGATGCTGAGAATTGACGTATCTGCCCCTTTTACCAATACCTTTACTTCATTGTTTGGGAATCTGATAACCACTGACATTCTTTTTCGGACACTGTCGAACTCATGCAGCCCTAATACATCCAGCCTACATTTCACATCAAGATTTTGACATTTTGTTTTAGTTTATGATGATATGTTGATATGAATTATGAAACATGGAAGATTTAATCAAGTGAGTTTTCTACCTTAATTTCTCACCATTGACATCAAGTGCAATATGACCAGATGTTCTTTCAAAAAGAATGTATCCATAAGCACAAGCTGCAGCTACAAGAGCTTGTTCATCAGGTGATTCTCCTTGATAATCAATAGCTTCAAGATCTTCATGAATTTCAGTCCCCATGGAGGACCCTTGTGAGCTACTTTGATTAAGAATTGGAATCACAGTGTTGCATGCTGCTAGTGTTAGAAAAAACTCATGAGCAGAAATTCTTTCATTCCCATTTAGCCCTTTATGAAGCAACCCCATGAGGTCAGGATCCACAGTGATATCAGATTTTATCTTCTTTCCTTTCATGTCTGCTTCTGTTGAAGCAACAATGTTATAAAGAATGTTATTATAAAACTACTGAAAGAAAGTCAAAGGTCAAAAAGTCAAACCTGGATTCGTTTTATCCACAATTGGTGGATTATGATAATGCTTCCCGAAAACAGAAGCTTTTCTGAATTCCATTTTGTTTTCAGTAAGTGTTCCGGTTTTATCAGAAAACACATAACGAATTTGACCTAAATCTTCATTTATATTTAAGGATCTGCATTGAAACCTTGAGTTTGTGCTGCTGTCATACATGTGTTTGTCTTCTATCATGAAATAAGATTGACCTAATCGAACCAATTCCATGGTGATGTATAAAGATATTGGAATCATTATCTGAAACACAATAACAGAACTCAAAAACGCAAAAAACGTCTCCATAGGAATCCCATAATACTTATACGGTTTTCCTGGAAACTTTCCCTTTATAAGATAGCTCTTTCTGTAATAAGGAATCGTATCAATTGCATCCTGATGACTCATCAGCCATAAACACATCCCAATAGCAACAACAAGACACAATATGAAAAGAAAAACAGATAACCAAATAGTTTCTGAGTTCATTGCTTGTTCAAGTCTGCTTCTTTTTGAAGGAGAAACTGCACTATTTAGCATAGCTTTTGTCTCTTGTCCAGCATACACAACAACACCTATAACCCATTCAGTGTTTTTCACCTGACATCCACGTAGGATAATGTTTGATTGACTTAGGGAAACTTTATGACCATTTAACTCCATATTAGCTGTGAACTCATATATGTTTCTATTAGGTTGTTCACATCTAATTACCCCTGATATTGATCCTAATGGCATTAAGGATGTTTCTTGTCGAGCATAACGTGTCTTTAAATTCGACTCTCCATCTAAATTCATGGTTTGTATGTAAGCAATGCCACTAGGATCACTTGTCCACATCAGCACCATGTCACAAGGGATTGTCTCATCAGCTTTAATTTTCACCACCTCACCTACTTTGATGTCTTTCCATCTTTTGGATTGGAAGTTTCCGGATTCAAGAACAAGGGATTCTTTGTTGTTCTCATTTCGATCAGATCTGTGTCTTCTCCAATCCTCGTATCCGTCTTTTATAGCAGTGACTGTGAGAACAAAAAGTAGAGGGAAGAGAGAGACTGTTCTTCCAAAGACTGCGAGAGGAGGAAGCTGATTCAGAGCTGCAATGGCTAAAAAGTATATGTAAGCCACTCGATGAAACTGAATGAAGAGATTCTTGGGTAAGAAGTTTATAAGTGTGTATTTGCTAGTGGTGATCTTGTTTCCTGTGAATTCATACTCTTCATTGGTTCTTTGAGGATTATCGATGTATATCAGTCTAGAATTATCACGTGCTAGGGTTTCATTATCTAACTGCATGCTTTTATAACGAATCTCAGATCAGGGAAATGTATCTGGGACCCGAGAAAAAGCAGCAAGAGATAACACCTTTTCCTTTCACATACAGAGCTTTATGGTGAATGCTGCAGATAGAAGTTAAGTTCAAAGGGGTAAAGTGTGTTATTTCTTTCCCCTTCATTCACAAAGTGAAAACTAGAACTTCAATCCATTCTGTTTCCCCAACAAGAAGACTTATTGGGTACCCAAGATAGTCATGTTCAATGCATTGAGAATCTGTCGTGGGACAACTTGTTAACCAAAAGAAGGTCAAGAAGTCATTTGCTTTAGGGTTCTTTTCCTGTGAGTTTTAAGATATCTGCAGTGTCTCGAATCCAGAAATTAACGTTTCTGACACTTCAATGCAAGAGGATACACTAATAGACCTTCAGGGTTTGCACAATTGGGAATTTCACCTGTCGTACAAAACCAAAACCTCGTTCTGTCATTTACGCAAACACATTGTGTTCGAATTGCAAATCGCAAAACGAGAACAGAAAAAACAAAGAAACCCCAGCAATTTGGCGTAGATAGATAGATACACAGACATGCACATAATTACATTCAAAGAAAAAAAAAAAGTTGATGGATAATGAAACTGACCCAGATCAGATTAATCCTTCCACACACTAACGAACAGATCTGGAACGTCAAGAAACACAAAGATTGCAGCTTTTTCCTACAATTATCTGGCAAATTGTGAAGGCACAAATTAGATTGAAACAGATAAACGGACGAAGGCAGGCGGAGCACGGAAATCGAGGAGAAAGAGAAACTGATGCGTGAGTAATGAGAGAAAGAGAGAGAAAGAGAGAAGGACGAGTGGATGAGCATAAATGTTGGTTCTTTACTCCGCTATGCTTTAAACTTTAAAGTGATGAGTCGTCTAGTCCCATCTATCTGCCTGCAAATTGCAAGCAATTTGCCTTTAATTCACGTTTTTAGTGATTGATTGCCTTCGACCCACAAAAACAGTTACCCGTATTCGTCATTCCCAAAAGCTTACATTCCATTTTTTTTACTATTATTTCCACATTCTTTACCTATTAAAACTATTTGTATTTGTATATTTTTTATAAAATGTTTGTTTATTCCCGTGTAAAAAGAGGAGTTTTTCAGAAAAATAGTTCATAAATTATACATATAAAATGATCGAAAAAATATATATTACATGTTATTGTTTTTTAAATTAAAGGTAAAAATATAATTTAGTTTTGGGATATTGACTAATCAGGGTAATTATCTTTTCGTTTTATTCACATTTTGATAACCATTATGACCGATTGTAGTAAGTTACAGCTTACGTGATATATATGTAACAACGAATATGACACATAAAGGTAATAAACTATTAGTTTTGTTCACATCTAAACAATTTTTTCCAAAATTCGATCATCCAACTTGTTGAAGTTATTCACATAATATCATTATTTCAAAAAATTAAAATGATGTCAAACTTGTTGAAGTTGTTCACATAATATCATTATTTCTGAAATCGAGGCACTTAGTTCGATCTGACACAAGAACACCATATGTTTTTTAGGGTGAGGTTCAAACCGGACGATTAAACTCATGTTTTACGATTATTATCCTAATGGAAGCTTGAGCTCACTCCTCCATTGAGTTGGGATTAGGAAACGAGGAGCATAGCGGGAGACTAGGTACGAGGTTGTACTGGGTGTAGTTCATGTTCTCGCGTATAATAATTGGGTAGGAGACTAGGTATGAGGTTGTACTAGGCAGGGCTCATATTCTCACATATAACAAACAGGAGAGTGGGAGAGTGGGAGTGAACTGAGGTTTCTTGTAACGTCCCAAAAATTACAATGAGATTTTTCATTTTTGAAATAGATTAACCAATTAAACCATTATTTTAGAAACCAATAAATAACGTTTGAGTGATTGAAAACTATATATTATCAAAGTTAAATTTACAAAACCGCATAAACGAATATCTTTGATGCGTGAGTACAATCATGTCGAGCTCTTCTCACGAACAACCTGCAAAATGTTTAATACACAACTGTAAGCATAAAATTTAGTGAGTTCCCCATTATACCAAATATTTCATCATATCTACAATGTATTCACACAAAGTCCTTGGCTCTAACATCGACTTGCCAATTGTCCTATCAACATGTATAAAACATACATAACAATCCTACATACAATAACAAGTCTTTCCCAACACGAGTGAATGTTATGGTTAAACCATATATTATAGTCACTTCTTGCTATGGGTTAAATCATGGTCTTTCCTGGTAATGTCAATGACCAAATCCGAGTCTTACATACAAGTGTCAGGGGCTAGATCTTGGTGTTCAATACAAGTGTTAGGGTGTAACGCACGTGTTTCTGGGCTAAAGCATTAATGATGAAGTAATAGTTTAGGTCAACCATTGTGATGAATCAATTAATCGAGTATGAAATTAATCAGAGATGATATTGAAGAATGAAAGAGTAATTAAACACAAGATGTAAATAAGATTTCGCTTCAGCTCTATTACGCTTTAAGTGTTTACAGAGAAAAATAGACAATGTTATTCACGTTATCTAACTCTAGTAAATGATCCTATTTATAGGATACACAAAGCGCACAAAAAATATACCAAGGCATTAACACTTAAGCTTCGAACAAAAGAGCCCTAGTAAAATACATTACAATTCATACGAAGAGTACAAAATAAGCTTCGACTAATTACAACAAAATAACTCTTACAATCTCCCCCTTTGTAATCATAGTCGAAGACTTCAGTTCGTAAGCAGTTGAATGGAATACAACATCACTCTTCGTATCTCATTGTACCATAAGATAATCTTCTTGAGTTCCTTTTTAGCTCTTTCATTATTCTTCTTACAATGATTCATATGAACGATTAAGTTCGTATATTGTGAAGTTGAGTACCTTTCCACCTCACCAGCTTGGAACAAAAAACGTTTTGTTTTCCCAGACTTATCCTTCCCTGAGAAGACTAAACCAAATGGCTTCAAGCAAATTTCACCATCAGCATACCTTTTTAAATCTGCTTGAGTATTCGAAGGAGCCATAGGAGCTATAATTTCCAATCCTTTCGTTATAGCCAACTCCACATCAGTTAATGCTAAGCATTCATAATAATTTTCAATAAAAATCTTGATGTGAGTAACTCCCAGCTTGTACTCATTTGGATCGGTATTCTGAAGATATGAGAAAGATCTTTCCTTCAGCAATAATGCAACTTTTATAAGATCATACAAGTTCATTAAAGGAAAATCAGCAATTGTAAACTCACAAACATTCCCATTCGCCCTGGTCACCACATACTTCATATTTTGGACTGTGTTTTCGAAAACAACATCCTTCTTTATGTTGATAACTTTCTTTATATTTATCAATGACCACACTTGTAACGCCCTGATTCTCAAGCATTGTTTTAAATAAGATTTATTGGGTTAAGCCCTACTTGACGAGTTGGTTGCCCTACTCATCGAGTAGCAGTGGGGTGGGATCGTGTGTTAAGTGACCTACTCGATGAGTCCATATTGGGACTCGAGGAGTAGGAGCTGGCAGATGAAACCCTAAATCTCGGGGTTTTGCACCTTATTTAAAGGAACCTTAGCCACCCTTGGGCCTCTTTACAGTTCTAGAGAGTCCTTGAGAACCCTAATACGTGTGTGTGTGTGCCCACTGTGTGTTTGAAGCTTGAAAAGAGGACCTTTAGAGGGAGAAGGCTTGGAGGAGAAGGAGATTGGAACAAGTAGAATGTGGGAGTCAACACTTATCTCAGTTATCATCTTCTAGAGGTACCCAAAACACCATTTTCTTTGTAGATCTCTTCTATAGGTTGAGTTTTAGGGATTTTATGGAATATTAAGTTGACAAGATGAGCTATGGGCTAGATCTGAAGTTGTAACTTCAGATCTGGACCCTCCTTGGGTTCTAGAAGCATAAAGTTGCAGTTTTGGTCATGATTGAGGTCCCTCTTGAGCATGAAGCTCCATTAAGAACTTAAAATAGGCATTTAGAGCCTTTATAGCCATGCATGCACGTAAAGCTTGCAACTTTACATGATAAGCATGCCCAAGGAGCTTGGATCTGTGATTTGGAGCCGCTGCATGGCTCAAAACAAGTCTATATGGAAAAAGGACTGAATGGACTCGGCGAGTCACATGAAGATGATTGTGGACTCGAAGAGTTGGATGAACAACTCGGCGAGTCCGATGAAGATTGCCATAAACTCGACAAGTTGAAGAACAACTCGACGAGTCGGATGAGTTTTCTCCAGGATATGTATGCGTGTGTATCCGTCGAGTTGCAAGGAAGAAACTCGACGGGTGGCCTTAAAGTTTGATCGAAAATCGAAGGAACTCGACGAGTCACTCCGATGACTCGGCGAGTTGGAAAGTGCTCCAAGGAACTCGGTGAGTAGCCGAGGGTACTTGGCGAGTTAAGGTCAACATGGACTGTTGACCTTGACTGAGGACTTTGACCTTGACCAAGGGTTGACTAGTGGGTTATGGAGTACTTTATAAGGTTAAGGACTTATGAGTATGTTGTACTGTAATAATAGGTGGTGGAGCCTGTATCAAGTGATCCGAGAGTTGGAGTTTACCTTTCGAGTCGACATCTGCGAGGTGAGTTATCCTCACTATATCGATAGGGTCTACGGCACCAATGCCGACCCTTTAGTTGTTATTGTTATGGTATGCTATGTGTGGTTATGATCTGTTAGATCGGAATTAGGGTAGACACTATGTTATGCTCTTATGATCCGTAGGGATTGGTATGTTAGTGACCTGCTAGGTCGGTGCTCTAGTTACGAGAGAATTCTATGATTAATGATCAGTGAGATAGATGTGTTTGATGTTTGTATATGCTAGTATATGATAGTTATGCGCACATGGTTATTTGCTTGTTGGTTGGGTTGAGGTGGTCTTGCTTTGAACTGAAGGCCAACATACCCTATGAGTAGTATGGGGAGACTGTAGGCCCACATGGCAGACCAGTAATGCCGAAGGCTCAGGATAGATCCAGATAGACTATAGGCCCTATAAGGCGGTCCAGTCAGGCCGAAGGCCCAATATGCATGTTGTTGATTATCTGTTATTGATATGGTATTAGCGATGTGGTATTGGTATTTTGGGGTAGCTCACTAAGCCCTTGGGCTTACAGTTTTCAGTTTATTGTTTCAGGTACTTCAGGAGATCATGGCAAGGTGAAGGCGTGACCGTACCACTCCTCATCCTTATGTTATGATTTTGGTACACTCTGATGGATATTGATTTGAAAACATTTTGGTAAACAAACGATGTTTGATTTTATTTATGATTGGAAAAGTTTAAATTTGGCGTATACTTTATGGATGTTACAACACTTCTTCAACTGGTTTCGCAAGAACTGCATAAAACCTGATTTTCATATGAGTTCCTTCATCCTTCTCTTTGAACTTGATTTCGGCTTTGAACTGGGGCATGATGAACATCATCTCATTAATTGGAAAGTCTAATTGGCTTGCATCAATATTTGTGACAATGTAGCTCTATTTTGGCTTCTTTTCGAATGAATACATGTGATTAAATGCAACCTTGGCTTTAATTGTGTCATAGTTGTAATGCTTTGATGGATCACCTTTGTTCATGCCAGGAGGATCACTTGCTCTTTGAGTCATTATACTCTGTACTAATCTCATCCTCTCCAGTTCAGCCACATCCCCAACCTTATTTTCTTCCTTAGATTTTTCTATCAAAATTGATTTTCCTCTTGCCTTCGAAGATGAGTCTTCTATTACTTCTTTCACCTTTGAATCACTCCCACCAATATCACCAGATTTACCAATCACAATTCCTTTCGAAATTGGTCTTGTAATGGCACAGTTTGTTATTACTGTTGAAGAAACAGGACCAACAGATGCTATAATTGGTTTTATTATTGGAATCTTCGAAGGAAATACCTTTCCCACCACCTTCGCATCATCACCTACAACCTTCAAACCTTCACTCTTCCTTTCTCCCCCTTGCACCCCAGTAAAAACAGGTGGGGCATTTGTTGTGGGAAGAAGGTTGGATATGCGGGAAAGAGGAGTCAACTGTTGAAGAAGTAAGGCTTCGAATTGAGAAAACTTCTGGAAGAGATCTTCTAAAGATAGTTGAGAAGACGAAGCCGGTTTTGAAGATAAGACTTTGAGCTCCTTTAACAGTGTGAGGACTTCCATAAAATTTTTGTTTTCATTTGTAGAAAGTTGAGCTATTTAGGGACTCAAACTTTCATACAACTTAGCAAACTTTGTCATAGCATCACAAATTATATCCACCTTTTGATTTAGAGATTCAAATTCCGTGCGAACAACTGTAATCTCTTTTTTCATGTCTTGGCGAAGCTCTTGAAGTTTAAAATTCACATCCTCCCTCACCTTTTTAACATCTTGAACGAATAATACATGATGTTCCTTTGCCACCATTCTCAAATCTTTCAAATCACCTTCAAATGTAGACTTCTAAGAATTAACCCTCATCTCATTGTTGTGATCTCAAATATCAATTTTCTCTAAAAGACGAGACTCATAGTCTTTAATCATGCCCGAAACTTTTGATGTGATTCTTCCTTCTAACAGTTTTAACAAACCATCAACTTCTAAACTGGTCACTGAATTACCTCCCCCAAGATATGTTTGTGATTGAAGAATTGAATTGAGCTTTGTATTCAAGATCTTGAACTGCTTCATTATCATTAGCATGTGATCTGGGAAATCATTTTCTTCTTCATCAAACTCCAAGTTTTCAAACGTGCCTCAAAAACCTTCCGATTCATGCTCAGTTTCCATAAAAATAGATTCTTGAATTGGTGAAGTGATTGTGGGTGGATCAGTGGATTGTGAAGAAAAAAGAGAACTAATTGGTTGTTTGATAATGTTTTCGAAAGTAGGAGAATCAGTGGTGGAAGTAGTAGGTATGATAGGTGTGATTTGTGGAGGAAAAGAAACACCGATTTCAAAGGTAACATTCAAAGGTTTACCTTGTTCAGCGTTCTGCAAAGCATCCTCACCCATGATGACATTTGCATCTATATTAGTTACATTTACAAGAATGTTAGAAGTTCGTGCCTCCTCGAAAACTGACTTGGCAACCGAATCTTCGGGTGGTATAACAACTATTTGTGCAGGAGTAGAAGTTTCTTTGTTAAGATTGGCTTGTAGAGTTTCTTGAATTGTTTCATCTTCATCAGTTGTGGACTCAGAAGAGATAATCATCTTGCTTTTCTTCTTCTTCTTCTTCTTGGAAATGTGTTTAGCCATATCAGCAGCGCTTCGTTTCTTTGACGGTGGTGAATCAGGTGCTGGAATTACACGAAATAGAAGTACTTGATGAGTAACATGTGGCTTTCGGACTACATTCATGAGTGGAGATCGGCTCTTGTGTTTGGATTTCATTTTGATTCTTCAAAAAAAAAAAAAAAACAGTCTTCGAAGGAATAGTTTATTTTTGAGTTAATGGTGTATCAACAACTGAAACTTCGGGTATTATTCGCTCTGCTTCAGTAACTGGTAACTTCTTCGGAACCTTCGTAGATTTAGACTCATTGACTTGTTTCTCAGAAGAACCAACATCAATCTTCTTCGTACATTTAGACTTTGTCTCTTCCCTTTCCAAAAGAATTCTAATTTCAACAGTTGTATCAATTGTTTGCAAGTGAGTCACTAAGATTGTGTTCGTAGGATCGACTCGTTTGAGCATTGCATCTAGAATACGAGCTACAATTGGAAACTCCTCAGCATCATCAGTTGCATACTTCGGACAACTATACACATGGAAAACAACTTTTTCTTCATCATTAGGAACCATAATCCCCTCCTTCTCATAGAAATACTGCAAGATCAAGCTCCAGTATCTCGCACGCGAAATGCCATGAAGAGCATTCGTGTTTTCAATACTTTTCAAGAATTTTTTCCACAGTTGAGTAGAGTAATCTAATTGAAGATCATAATATAGCTCTGCTACCATGGCATAAACCTCCATTCTCCCCTTGTCCAAACCAACTGTTCTTCCAGTTAAACATATCAAGAAAATGCCAAACAATAAATGTAACGACCGAAAAATCCAACCAATTTAAATTTTTCAAAAACAACCCGATTTCATTAAAATATTTACAAAAAGGTTTTCAATACAAATCATTTAGAGTATTCCCATAATCACATTACTACAAAATCATGAGGAGCGGTACGATCACGCCTTCGCCTTGCCACAGTCTTCTGAAGAACCTGAAAAATATAAAACCACAAATGTAAGCCCAAAAGCTTAGTGAGATACCCCCAAGATACCAACCACATATACGCCCTTCCAGGCTACGACCTTCCGGTCCAAAACATATTGCCTTCCGGCCCATAACATATTGCCTTCCAGCCCATAGCATAAAAAACATACATAACATAACAGAACATAGAACAGTCATGCATATCGGGTTTACTGTGTGACTGGTCCGCCGTATCGGGCCCTCAGTCCACTGGATCCACCCTCCGAGTCTAGTCATGTCCTTCGAGTCTACAGTGTGGTTGGTCCGCCCGCACCGGGCCTTCAACCCACCTGGTCCACTCTCTAAGTCTACAGTATGACTGGTCCGCCCGCACCGAGCCTTCAGTCGGCCTGGTCCACTCTCCGAGCCTCGACACATCTGGTCCGCCCTCATGGGGCCTACAGCCTATCCGGACCGCTCGCTGTGCCTTCGGAACAACCGGTCTGCCCTGGGTATCTTGGCCTATAGCACAAAGCAGGACCCGCCTCAACCCATCTCTAGTCCATGTGCACATAACATACAATCATATAACAGTCATAGTCAACAAACCGATCAAGCATATCACATAACATATCATTACCCTAACCAGGTTACCGACCTAACCGGTCACTAGCATAGCATCACTCTACATATCGGGAAACTGACCTTAATCAGGTCTCTAGCATATACCATCCTAGTTACCAGGATGCAGACATGTCAAGAAATAACATAACAACCACATCCGAATCACAATCCAATAAAGGGTCGGCCTTGGTGCCTTAGACCCTGTCGATATAGTGAGGATAACTCACCTCGAAACTGCCGGCTGAAAGGATAAGGTCCCGCTGCTCCAAACTCCGACACGAACTCCTCCACTGAACACCAAAACACTCAACTCAATAAATACCCTTAATTACCAAAATACCCCTGGAAGACAACTGTTCAACCCTTGGTCAAAGTCAAAGTCAACCCCTAACTGACTCTACTCGCCGAGTCAACTCGATGACTCGCCGAGTCCTTATGCTCAGAAGTTCCCTCAATCCGCAACCCAACTCGCCAAGTCACCCCGAGACTCGCCGAGTCCAACAACTCTGAGTCCACTCGCACCCAACTCACCGAGTCATCCCTTGACTCACCGATTCTCGATTCATCCAGAAAATATTGGGACTCTTCGACAAGACTCGCCGAGCTAAGGCTATCTTCAACCTACTCGCCGAGTTGTTCATCCAACTCGTCGAGTTCCAGCTCATATTCAAGCAACTCGTCTAGTCCACCCATGTGACTCGCCGAGTACCACCGGTCTGAATCCATACAGAAGCATTCCAGGCCATGCAATTGATCCAAAACATAGATCTAGCCTCCTACATTCCATCCATCACATAAAGTGGCAAACTTTACGTGAATCCAAAGAGATCTAGGCCTTATTCACTTTAGAGCTAGGGTTTGGGACATGATGGTTTCACTAAGCACTCAAACACAGGAACTTTAATGCACTCTAGGCCTTCAATATTCCAGATCTGAGGTAGCAACCTCAGATCTAACCTCCAAACTCCAAAACATACCAAGATAAACTCCCCACAAACCCCAAAATGATGAATCCATATGAGTGATAGCCCAAGAACGAGATATTACCTCAAAAGAATGCCCCAATTGCAATGAAACTCGAATCCAAGCAAAGCCCTTTGATCCAAGCCTCTTCTCCTTCAAGATTTCTTCAACAAACACCTCCCCAAGCTCCAAATGCACTATAATCTTCTTTAATCACGCTTTCTAGGGTTTCTGGACTTCAAGGGAGATCAAAGAGGCTGGAGAGAGGATATAATGTTCTTTAAATAGGGCTCATTCCCCGGATTTAGGGTTTTCTCCACTCAGCACCTACTCGCCGAGTCCATCTTTGGACTCGCTGATTAGGCCACTTGACTCGCGACCAAAGTCGTGACCCTACTCGCGGAGTCCATCCATGGACTCGCCGAGTCGCCCTTCAAGATTTACTCTTTAGCACTTCAACTCTACTCTTGCTATTCCGAGATGTTACAATTCTCCCCCACTTAAATTAGGCTTCGTCCTCAAAGCCTACGGCAACTCATCTCCAAAGATACTCCCACAACACGCCACCTGGCCTTAACCGGACCAAGTCCCTCAAGGCATATCCATCGAAACTCGAACTCACTTTCTCCTTCCTTGCGGTGTCCTGGCCACCGTCTCAAACCGGGCACTGGCTTTACCCTCTGATAACCACACAACAACTGAGTACCACCCATGATCCAACACTGCTCCAAATCACAACCATTACTCGACCCATATGAGGTATAAATAACTATGCACCACCCGATTCCCGATCCGAGTCCAACTCTATCCAATCCATGCTGACAGAAAGACACACTCTTCAGAGCAACTCCCATGAGTTCTCTTCTTGAAATCGCATGCACATGCTGAACTAGCTCTAGCACCCTCGGGTTAGGAAAACCCATCACACTGACGACCTTCAGATCATCCCTTAGGATGAGCCACTGCTACACAATTCCTTCACCGAAAACAAGCTGGGAATCCAAAACTCCATATCTGCATCCCTTACGAGCCTCTTGACTTTACAACCTCGGAATTCCCTTCTGCGACCTCAGCAGACATCCCCTCATGATGTCATCCCATACCGTCGCCGCACACGCTGCTCAATGACCACCGTCGGACCACTCCGATCATAACTCTGTTGGGTTTTGAGCAATCTAACACTTCGTAAGTGTGCATGCAACCCTAATAAACCTTGGATCTATGTTTGTCTAAATACATGCAAAATAATAATTTTCCAAGGTTTATAACCTATCTAACATGACATGGGGAACATTTCAACATAAAAGAGTTAGAAGAGATTACATACCTTTTGGTGAGTTTGGTTCTAAGGAGTTTGAGGGCCAAGCACCAATAGTGTGAATGCCTCAAATGGAATCACAAACACCACTAACTCTTGGAAAACTTTGAGAGAGTATACACCCTTGTATAAAATCGGCCACACACATGCACACACACACTAGTTCACTAGTTTTTTCTTAGGCTCCATTTCATGCTCCATAAGCATGCTTATATAGTGTGCATGGTTAGGGTGAAACCCTAATAACCCATGTCTTTTCCTTTCCAAGGATCCCTAGGTTAAAAGCTCCATGGATCATCCATGGACTTCCACATAAGCCTAGCCCATTAACAAATGAGTATTAGCCCACACTATATAAAAAATAGCCCATAATCTAATTAGTCTTCCTTTTAATCTCTAAATTAATTCATAATTAATTTAAGACTAAAACTAATTAAATAACGTAACTTCATATTAATATATTATAACTCATAATATATTAATAAACATATGTGTATAACTCTCATAAAATTATCCATAATAGTTTGGATAAGATGCAACCCAAATGGACCATGCCGGTCGGGTCAAGTATATACCAAATAAGTTATGGACTTAGACACCTTATCCAACAGACTCCCACTTGGATAAGTCTAATAACTGTATTTGCCTACAACTTTAGGAACCAACCAGCAATCGTAGCTCTCGAAAACTCCCTCGAACTATGAAGACTCTGTCGAACTATGAAGCGCCATTTTAGATAAGTGATCACATAATCCTCTGTTCTCATGATATCAGCCGGACAAACACATGGAACTCTGTCTTGCTTATTGTCTAGCAGTTGTTTCTCGATTTTCTGATTTGTTTGACGAAGAACTTCACTGAACACATCGGTTTAGTTCTGACCAGGCCTGGTACATGGGTCAACACAAAATCATCGAGGGGCCCAGATATCGCTTCTATTTCTAGAAGGAACAATAAACTTCGACTGATATGCTTGTTCTACTACTTATTGAATTGTACACAAAGGCACGTTTTATAACATCAAGTTACTGATGCGTTTACGTGCAATCAATGCACAACCAACTCATAGGTAACAACTCATATCTCTAGGTTTAAAGATTTATATGATGTTATCGTCTCACGATCACTCGAGATAAATTCCATGAAGTGATACAAGTGAGCGTGGGTTTATACCAATACTCATAACTTATGAGTACTCATGAATGTTGCAGCAACCATTGCCATGTCTAAACACCTTTAAGGCATCTACAAACCCAATTCATGACAATCTTGATTCATACCTACTTCCGACGTAT